GTTTATGTCCCTGGTTCATTTTCCCTTTGGGGTCTTGGTAGTCTTCTCATATTTGTATAAGACAGTTAATAAACTGGCAACTTGAGGGCCAAATTAGCTCAGATATATTGCTTGGTCCACATGGTTTTAAGAAATTAGGAGACTTCACATTAAAACCTGGATTTCTGGCTTCTCTTGAAAAAAATCGGATCTGGAAATACCAGGCTCATAATCCTACATGGAAACAATCAGATGGAACTGAGTGGCAGCTGCTTCCTTCAAAAGGGGCAAGAGCTCCCAAGTCTAACACAGCCCTGACTCACGCAAGTCTATTCCATGGGCCCAACGAAACTTACATCACTTGCCTGACCCTGTAATGCACTGAATCTATAAGCACTTTGTGCTCATGACATTAATTCTTTATCCATCATTCCATTATTTCCTTTGTATCTTTTTGATCATGCTTTTTAATTTCTATAGTCATATCATTTCTTTTAAATTTCTTTCATTGGGGATTCACTAATACTGTTGGAAGAAATATACTAAGGGATAATCTTTGAATGATATGACATCATTATTTTGGGAACTAATCTTCTCTCCTTTCCTTTTCCAAAAAACTTTTAAGTTCTTATTAAAAATCTTAGCATTTTTAAACCAGAAAGGACTTTAAAACTTATATTAGTTCCTGATAGTTCATGTGAGGAAATGAAAACTCAGATAAAATAAGTCATCATGCAGCCTCACAAGCCTAAATCTATCTGTGAATACCCAGTCATCTTTAGCTGTGGGCCACTGTGGGCCACTCCAAAAAGTCACTCAAAGTAGTCAAGTAAAACCAGACTAGATATCTGAAGGACTTGGAGAGGGGACACACGAAGAAAGATATACCAAACAGATGAAACTGGATAAAGAGAGGCCCTGACAGAAGAACACATACAATGTGTCTGAGGGACAAAAGGTGTATCAATTTCACTGAAGTAGAGGGTTCAGGCAGCTAAAGAAGGAAAGGAGGTACAGGACTAGTTAGGAAGGCAGCAATAGTTCAGACTCAGATTAGGGTTTTAGTAACGTCAAGAAGGGTGAAGGTCAAAGAATTCTTGAAGGATCAGTGAAACTTGGCTGTGGAGTGAATGAAAATAAAAAGAAGCCAAGTTTGTAAGAGCCAGAGGTTGAGTTTGCTAGAGCATTTGTTAAATGCTGGAATTCCCACATACAGGCCCCGAGGCTTCAGTCAGACTGTGGTGGTCAGCAGGAGCCAAACATCTGTTGTCAGAAATATATATATGTCAGGAATCGCAAATGTTTATACCCTTTGACATTGTAATTTTTCTACTAGAAATTTTATCCTAAGAAAATAATTGGAAATTTGCCTGCGGATTTCTAAAATAGGGATTTCTGTGCTTATTGCAAGCTTATTTATAGCACAAAAAAAATCATAAACGACCTGGATATTTAATAATAATGGAATGGTTAAATAAAAGATGACTAGATGCAGCAACCAGAAACCTTGGTTTTGAAGAGTATGTAATAATATGGGAAAATGTTCATATAGCATATATAGCACTAGGGAAAAATCTACCAGTGGTAATTTTCTAAGCTCTTGCCCTCGATCATAAATATACCATACCTGGTGGCACCCACTTAGGTCTCTTGCTTTCAGCTGAAGGACTGCATATTTGTAATGGCTTTCTAGAGGCCTCTGAAGAAAGAGAAACCTTTTTTGATGAGGACTGAGATTCTGATTTGACAGCAGCTGGAGCAGAATCTACTGAAGTCACTTATTTGAAAAATATACATAAAAAAGTTTGTTATATAGAAGACAAAGTTTAAATCTAGCATGTACATGTAAAAATTATAAAGCTACATAATCTTATAAAAATTAAAAAGGCAATATCACAAATTTGAAAACTGATTAATAAATCAACAAACATTTATTGAGAGCCTAAGAATAACCATTTTTTATGAGCATTTATATGCCAGGTAGTGTGGTAAGCATTTCTCATATTACCTTTAATCTTTTACAACAACTCTGATACAGATATTACTATGGCCCTGTCAGATAAGGAAATGATCTGCCTGTAGTGATAGCTAGTAAGTGTCTGAACTGGGATTAGAAACCAGGTTTACCTCCAAAGTCCATACTTGTAACCATTACTCAATAGTGTCTCATCAGTATGTGCCGGTGAGACAATATATGAAGCTCTAGAGTTACAGAGAGTTTAACTCATGGATCTTGCTCCCAAGGACTTTATGGTCCAGTCACTGGACTCTATCTAGTAGGAAGGACAAGAACAAAAAGAGATGTGTGTAATGCAGTGTGATAAGGGATATGACAGACTCTAGAAACATGTCCAGTAGCAAGGGAAATAAAAATCTGGGTGTATGTGTTTAGAAGTCACAGGGAGGGAGGTGAGGATGGTCTGAAGTCAAGTCTGAAGAGTAAAGATGAGCTGAGGGAAGTATTCCAGGCAGAGGAAGTAGGGCATGTAAAGCTGGGAAATGCACCAAGTTCTAGGACCAGTACTGGTTCAATATGACTGGAGCAAGAATCTCAAAGATAGAAAAGGTGAGAGATATAGACAGGGTGCAGATCATTTCTGAAGAGCTTTGCAAACCACATAAAGGAGCGTCTGGCTAGTCATAATCGTGTATTAATTTTTCTCAGGAATGACTTGCATTTTAAAACGTCTTTCTGGTGGTAGTGTAGGGCAAGTACACCACTTAGAAGGCTATTACAGTAATCAGGTGAGAGGTGAGGGGGACCTGAACTAAGTAAGGTGGAAAAGAGAAGGGAAAATAGCACATTAGATATATTTTAGCAGTTAGATGGAGGGAGGCAGTGATGAAGATGAAGAAATAATCCACGACTTGCAAGTTCTTGTCATGGCCATACTGCCTCATAGTGCCATTTACCTAAGAGAATGAACACAAGAATGGGAGGAGGTTGTAGACTTTGGTCTTTTTGTTCTTTTTTTTTTTTAGGTCAGGAGGAGGAATGAAGGGAGGAGGAGAGGTAGAATATAAATTCACTTTCAGATAATGCTTGTTTTGAAATACCTAAGGGGTATCTACATGTATGTGAATATGAACATTTTCACTACAGACATATCCCCTAGATCAGCACTGCCCAAAAGAACTTTCTGTGATGATAGAAATGTTCTG